GAAGTAAACTAAGACGAAGTGAAGTGATTTTGAAATGCAACGAATGTGAAGCAACAGCAGCAGTAGCAGTTGTTGGAGAGCAAGAAGAAAACAGGAGGAAGTACGCAAGGACAAGAGGAACCGAGAAGGTTAGATATTAGGTTGTCGAATATTGTGTAATAGTACAGACGAATGCTAATACAAATACTGGAATTAATACAAAATATAGACTGAACTATAATATCCTTGTTGTATGAGTGTAGAAGAGGAGAGAGTGTATAAGTATGTGTCTAAATATAAAACTATTTTTATTTCAGTTTGAGTCTGAAGAGGCTGCTACGCCCGCCCGTTCGTTCGTCCGTCCGTCCGTCCGCCTGGTTTTAGGTGGGTTCAATTCAGTACGGACTGTGGACGGAGATTGAGCATTATAAGATGAAGAATAAGATGAAAAGAAGAGTGCAGAAAGAATGTATTGGGTAGAGGAAAAGTTTGTGAAGAAATATGAAAAGATTATATAAATCCTGTTATTGAAGCAGAGGAAAAAATAATGTGATATATGTTATAGCAACTGGTGAATGGTATGAGAGAGAGAGAGTGATTACAGCTCAACTGAATTCGAGTGAAATTAACGAGGGCAACGTTGGCGCTTGGCGGGCGTTGTTTTACATTTTGTTGTGTGCCGTTCAATATTGTAGTTTTGATTTGAGGTTCAGATTTGGTACTGATTCGGGTTGGCGAGAGGGGCTTTTGGACGTATTTAGACGGGTAGTATAGGGATAAGGGGTCTATTCTTCGATTGTATCCTAGAGCATGACATATTCTCGTATGTGCAGAGGGTAAGCTGTGAACTGCAAGTATCAGCTGCATAGCACAATTCTATATGGTTCGTTATGTTCCCTAGGCAAAACTGGATTGTGCCTCAAATGATATGTTTGTAGAGTTGTTCGATCGCGACGTGTACTAGTACATCTATATCAGTGTAACGAGGCACTCTTTTTCATCAATCTCCTTCTTATATTTTAATTCTCGTATGTCTTCTAAATAATTCTTCATGTCACCTGGAATGAATCGCTATCTCGCGAGAAAATCTGCGAAATCTATGGCAACCCCTTAAACGATACATACTCCATTTCAGTAATCCATTTCTCTGAAAACTTTAGGAATTCGTATTCCTTAGGGTTGTGAATCAATGAAATGCGTTGTTTGTATAATGATATGTGAGCTTAATGAGCTAGTCAAGTGCAGTTCCTCGCCATATGCATGTGTTAGAGTTTTAGTGTACTTTTGTGACCATATAATGAACATGTGATTAATTATTAACATATAATTATTTATTGCATTAGCATATCTTATCTTATCACTTCGTTGCATTCCGAATGAAAATTATTCAGAAGTTTTTGATGTTTGATTCGGTTATCACTCTGTTATCACAATCATTCGGCCACATAACACTGGCTGATATCTGCTGACAGTCAATGCAAGGACACCCACTGAACACCGCACAATCAATTCTCACTCTTCGTTGCTTTCCTCTCGTTACTATTATAATTCGTATCATTCCAACGGTTTATACCTTGCCAACGTGACTATTATTTTCGTTGATATAATTCTTATGACTAACGCCATTATTATAGTTAATATCAAGTGATTGCGTTTAATGTGGATAGTGTTTGTGTGTGATCGTCGTCGTTAGTTTTAATATCATCGTCACTGTTATCATATCACTGTTATCAATAAACAAGCGTGGCTCTTATCGTTATCACTATTGAAGAAGAACAACAAGCACAAAAGCAACGAAGCAGAAGAACGAGTGGTGAGTGCATGAATTCGGTTCAAGCTTCTGCTGCAGCCGCTGCAGCCGTCTCGTTGGCCACGTTGAATGCGCTGAACTCAATCGGTACGTCGATGAATAGTAGTTGTTCATTTGCGAGTATCGATTCCAAATCGCTATTATCACAACAACGCCAGAAACTATTCGGTGAAACGTCTAGCTCTGCAGGTACGTCTTCGGGTCATACCTCAGTGCGACAGCATCTTCAGCAGCAACAACAGCAACAGAGCACCAGCACCAGTAGTCCGTTGGTGATGAGTAATGCGAGGAACGCGGGCAGAAAGAAGACAAATCCGGTGAGATGGCTATTCATATTCTGATTTATTCGCAGTCATTTTTGGTTTTTGATGTGGTTAGTAGAACACGAT